AGAAGCAATTGAAATGAAAATTGATTCTTTAAGGAAAAATAAAACTTGGGTTTTATCATATTTGCCCCAAGGAGCTAAGGCTATTAGGTGTAAATGGATTTTTAAGAAAAAATATTTTTCAAACGGTTCAATTGATAAGTATAAAGCAAGGCTTGTAGCCAAGGGTTTTACTCAAAAAGAAAATATAGATTATTTTGACACATTTTCTCCTGTGACTAGAATCTCTTCTATAAGAGTTCTTATTGCTTTGGCTTCAATTTACAAACTTTTTGTTTACCAAATAGATGTTAAAACTGCTTTTTTGAATGGTGATTTAGAAGAAGAAATTTATTATTGAAACGTCGAGGGGAATGGGACTTAAGCCTGTTTGAAATAAACGGTGATGGCAACCCGACCTTTGTGATTGGAGATCCCATGAAGAAAGTTCAATGGGTAAGAATAAGTCACTTGTTAGTTCTGCTAGCACTGAATTTGTCCCTTCTTATGGCTTGAGAAAGTGCTAGAATGCATTGAACGGAGGCTGAGCGAAAGCTCTTAATGTTTTCATAGTCCTTACGGATGGTGTATTCATTGCAGATACACTTGATGAAAACACCTATACAAATGTGGAGTGGGGCCGCTCCTATGAGATCGTGGCAAAATCTCTAGAGCATTTGTTAAAACCAGGCGTGTGCATGGCCGATAATGTGCAAAACCATTGTTAATAGTAGAGACTGTGGGGGTATAATCCGATTAATAAGACCTCTAGCACACGTTCAAGATCTGTTGGTTCAATAACAAAGTTACACCAACTTTTCTGTGTGCTAAGTTTTATTAGTCTAGGTTTGATTCAAGTCGACAGACACCAAATTCAAAGTGATTATCCTCCGTGTGAATAAACACAGACGAACATAGATCATTTTGACACATGTGGGGGATTGTTGTATGTGTGTCACAAGTGTATGTGTCAAAGTCCCACATTGACTAAAAAAAGGAATCTCTTAGTGTATATATACTAAGGAATGAAGTGGGCTAGTAAAATGGGCTTGGAAGAGAAGTGGCCTCACGTATATGAGACAGGCCAACTCAGGGCAATCGCAGTTGAAATCAGCCGATTCGCCCCCCTTGCGCGTGAGTTCAAGAGGCACTGGGTTCCTTTTACTGGGTTATTTTTCCAAAAATGGTTAAATAAATAATTATTTTTGCTTACCTGAAAAAACCTCTGATTTAGCTGTTTTCAATTTGAACTTGAGGCTTTGGCAATTTTTGGACATTAAACCTCTTCTAGAAACTGAATTCTATGCATTAATGTTTTATCTGCCAAACGTCTCCAGATTGAACGCTGAACGTTTTCGGATTAATGGACGTGCACGTTTTTGCTGTTTAAGGCGTGTAACTGAAGCATTAATCCATGAACATTTGTTGTTTAATGTGTGTATAACCGAAGCATTAACCAGTAATTATAACCCAACGTTTGTGTCTCCTTCCTCGGCCTATAAATAGACATGGGTATGGACAGAATAGTGTGCCAGCGTTCTCGTCCTCTCCTCCCTCTGTCTTCTGTTGGTCTGTTCTTATTTTTAGTCTCCGCTATTCTGTTCCCTTGCTCCACTGCAAGAAGTGCTCGTTTAATCCTGGGGAACTGCCGGTCCGCCGTCCAGGAGTACCAGAATAATTCTTAAGGACAATGTCCTTCCGGGCATGACTCAAGCAATTAGAAGCTCGCTGTTCGTGTTTGCATCTGCTGTCTACAACAAATTTCACCTTTAGTAGGCCCACATTTAATTTTTTTAATGTTTTTAGTAGGTCACTGTTTTTTTTTTATATTTTTAGTAGGTCTCCTCAAGGCTCAAGCCACCCTTTCGATCGAGTCTCTTTTTATACTTGTAAAAATTTAAACTTCATGCCACAACTCTCTAATGGCTCCAAACCTGATTTTTTTACCATAATTCATGATCTTGCCCTCAAATCTACCATTGTTAAATGGTGCTAGAACTCCACCAAACCATTGCAAGAGCATGCTTCTAATGCACTCTTCAGCCTGACCATTCATGACGATAACAAGACTGCAATTGACATGTTGGATGCTTTGCTGCCACTACTCTACTTACTTCAATCCAAGAACGAACGAACGAACGAGAGAGGGAAAGGGGGGAGGAGAGAGGGAGAAGAGAAAAGGGTATTTTTTAAAATTATAAAAAAAAATTTAACACATGATGTCAGGGTAATGTAATTGAAAGCCTTAACAATTGAGGGATATAAGTAATCCTTTTTTAATTTTAGGGGTGATCTTGACTTTTTTGGTTTAGTTGAGGGCATTTTATACTCTTTAACCTCCAAAAATATAATAAAAAATATTAAGTGAGTCCCACTATTATATTTTATATTTAAAAAATTTATGTGGGTCTCACTAATGAATAATTAACACCAAGGGCACTGAGGAAGCAAAATTCAGAGGTTAAGAGATAAAATTAATCTCAAATTGAGTTTATAATTATTTATAAATTTTTGTGTAAAATTTGAGAATAAAAATATTCTTTAACCTTTTTCTCTTTTTTCTTTTTTGGCCAACAGCAATAGTATTATACCTGAAGCGAAGAGCAAAACAACGAGAGAGTCCTCAAAGCCAAAAGGAAAACAAAGCTAAAAGAAGGCAAGAAAAGGTTGACAAAGGAACAAAGTCACCCAACATCCAACCCAGAAATTGGAGAAGCACGCATGTGAGGACAAGTCATAGCCCCTGCCATCCTTAGTTAGAAGAGGAGATAAAATAAGTACTTTTTCTGATCTTATTTATAAATTATTTTTATAAATTTGATCAATATTAATATAATAAAAGTATAAGAAACAAAAATAAGTGAAATTTCAAACATAACCTTTAAGTAAAAAGTAAAAAATAATTTAATTATATAATATTATTTTTTTTATTTTTCTCTTTCTTACTTTTAAAAGATAATTTGGTGTTTTTCATTTGAAACAATTTCATCAACAAATAACTTATAAAATATATCAGATTATATTTTTAGAAAGTAATTTATATACTAGAGTAGAGAAGTAATGGTGAAGTCACCCATCCTACTAGAATCATATCCTTGAGACAAGTAGCTGTAATTAAGAGGAGGCTGTTTGAAATTATTTTTATTTTATTATTTTAAAAATTAATTTTTTTATAAAATATGTTTTGAGAATAAAAAAATTAACAATAATCTTAAAACATCTAAAAATTATTTTTATTTTTATTTTCTTTAAAATAATAATTTATTTTTTTATTTTTTAAAATATTTTAAAAATATGTTATTAAATAAATTTTTTTATTATTTTATTACGACGAATAGAAAACTAAGTCACAGAGTCCTGAATCAGCCCCACGCTTACCTTCGTGGGAGACAAAGGTGATAGAAAACCCAACTCTGGTCGATCTCTTAGTAAAAACACCGATATCACTAGTTACTAACCTATGTATGAGGAAGAGCCATCGCATCACACTTGGACTCTGCTTTGAGATTCTGTGCTTGTCCTTACTACACTCACCCAATGCATGTCTCCAGGTGTCCTCGCCATATGCTCTCAATACATTCAGTGGCTGTGAGGAGTTTATACAATCAGATTCAGCATTCACTCAATCCTCCTCTCTCTGTTTTTTTTTTTTTTAATCCACGTTGTTAAGATGCATCTCTAACTGCCTTCCACATTTGGCGCCATCATGCATTGGGTGATCTTCCTTCCTTCTCGTGATATTTTCAGAGCTTCTTAAACCTTCATCTTGTCCGCCATTTACATTGCTGTGCTCTGTTCTTCTTCTCCAGTGATGAGCCGGTGGAGTATTCTTTACAGTATATTTACAGCCTCCTAGCAATCAAGGACTTGTAATCGTATGTTAACGGTTCTCCATCACCTTGCCTGGAATCAACCACAAGAGTTTAGAGAGAAACAGAGCACTAAAGTGGGAACTGAAGTGATATTTACACATTTGAAGAAACAATAAATGAACCAAGATCAGATGATGCCAAAGCGATAAATCGTCGGCACTATCTCCGTCCTTCAATTCCATTTTCTTACTCTTGCTATCCTATTCCACTTTCACTATATGTTCTCCAGAATCGGCAACATCTAACAACGTTCATATTAAAAGAAAAAATTAAAAAGAAGAAATCACCAAAAAGAAGAACATAAAAGATAGAATAAGAAAGGCAATCAAGCACGCAGGAAAAAAAAAAAGACTCGTTTCAAAGTTTTGGTTGCAACAAGTTCCTTAAAACTGTTGATTTGATTGAAAGCATAGATTTAACCACATCGGTACAGGCACCTTGCTACATGCATGCATGGGATCCAAATCCTCGGACTCTAGTGTTTCTTTCTCTTCTCGTCGCATTACTTGTTCAAGGCTTGATCTCATCAATTTATATCACACGATAGGTAGAATCATCACGAGTCCATTATCACAGAATAGATGTTGACGTACAATAAATGGGAGCTAAACTACTGATGAAATCATTTTGTCAAAAAAACCAAGTCGTGTTTGCATCGATGAATCGTTCTCGAGTTGAGGCGGATGACTAAAAAGTGAGAGGAACTCACTCTGAAGGATTTCACTATGGACGTTGTCTGTCTGATTTCTCCCGATGTTCCAAATAAAAAGACGCTGTCGTGAAGATATTGTCTGGAGTCATGGTGAAGATGAAAATGTGCATTAAAAGCGATCGAGGAGTCGTCGTGCATACAGAAATTCATTGGAAGAATTATGATAAAAATCATGATCACCAGAAACTTTCAATTTATACAAACAAGCAAGAATCTGTATATGTATGTGAAGGTGGTTTACGAGAAAGCAGAAAGTGGTGGCTTTCGTTGTTATGGTTTGTGAGGCAGTGGAAGAATTTCCAACGATCGTGAGTCCCGATTCTTCCGGATGCTCCAATGACCGATTTTCCCGGTCACCCGGTCGTGTTTAACACAGGCCCTATAATGCTATATGTAAGCTCACGCCTATATCATTCTTCTCTCTTTTCCTACGAATCTGCCTTTGTCCGAACAATCTGTTATTCCCGCGTACTACCCGTTTGGATTATTTTCCTTTTCGTTACATTCTCGACTTCGTCTTTTGGGGGTACGTTTATACCCTTTTTGTTCTCTCTGTGTTCTTGTTAAATTAAAATCTTTCATACCCTTCCTTCCTTGATGTCGACACTCAAACGTTAGTTTTTATTTCTTCTCTCTCCCTCCGTTTTTTTTTTTTTGGTACAGAAACTCAAACGTTGTTAAAGGGCATCTGTCTTAGGACTTGTGGTCGATAAATTTGTTTGCTTTTTGACAGTTGCAGTTGCAGTTTCTCATTTAAGGAATTAATCATTGGCCTCTTGTTCTCTTCATTTCTTACGGTGGCTTTAATGCTAGATGTTATATCAGCTTCTAGCTCTGTGCTTTTCATTTTCTTTGTTAATTCTGGTTCTGGGCGGTCTTATTTGTGTTTTCTTTTGCTGCTTGCTTATGCTCACCAGGTGTTTGTTTTTATTTCTAAACGAACGCTGACGCTATTGCTACGAACGATATAAGCTCTGATTTTGGAAGGGCTAGTTGGAGGCGTATTATTTGCAGGATGGGCAGGGTGAAGCTGAAAATAAAGAGGCTGGAGAGCACTAATGGGCGTCAGGCAACCTACGCTAAAAGGAAGAATGGAATTATGAAAAAGGCTTCGGAATTATCTATACTGTGCGATATAGATATTATACTTCTCATGTTCTCACCGTCTGGGAAGCCAGCACTCTGCAGAGGGAGGCGTAGGTATGTCACTAATGTCTGGATATTGATATCAATATATAGTATAAAATCTATAATAAACTGCATTATTATTAGTCATAAATAGCACGATTCCAATTTAGTTAGTATAGATGTTCAACTTTTTGTCAATAACCGTTTTGATTAATTAGTTCAAAGTGTATAGTGAAGAAGAAAAAAAGTTAACTGTTCTTCTTCAACCCATGAGTCTTTATGGTCAAATGCCGTGATGGCTGTTCACTCCAAGATCAAGGAAGCATTGTTTAAAATTAAAACATCTGTACGACCTGCATTTTGACATCATCACCATGATAACAATTATGTATATTTGTTTTCGGTGTAAGATAGAGTTTTTATTTTTCTCAGAGGTCTATTTTTAAGTGTTTGTCTTTACTTAACAGTTGCTCCTTAAGCTGCTGTATCACTCATCCTCATGAGTCTTGAGTCTAAGAAGTTCGTTACCACATTATTGCATTCCAAACTTATTCCTTTATACTTCCCTGGTGGTTTGGGGTTGATAAATATGATATATTGTCTAGTTTTGTATTTCTTTATACCTTTGTTCTTTTATGTTTAACAAAGGTATTTTGTTATTATTTACACAATTTCCTTTATAATTTCTGCCCCCTCCCAAAATCTTTTATTTGTTGATTCAACTTGTTTCTAAGTGCATCTAAATACTCTTGGTCAAAAGTGAAAAAGAAAAAAAAAATCTAAATACTCTTATACGCTGTCCTTGATATTTTTTAAGCTATCAGTAGGCTTGGACTATGTCGTTTGCCTTTTTAAAAACACCATTACGATTCTTTCCCTGATTATATCCCTTCTTTGGTGACTGTAGTAACATAGAGGAGGTTATTGCAAAGTTTGCTCAACAAACTCCACAGGAAAGGGCAAAAAGGTATAATTAAAATTTTTCCACGTTCTACAAATTATTATGCCTTTTTATCTAAGTTGTACGAGATTGTGATTAATGTTTCGAATTGGATGGGAACAGGAAGTTGGAGAGTCTTGAAGTAAGTTGTTTCTTACAACTCATTCTCCCTGAAAAAAATACACATTTATCCCCTTGTTTTGAAACAGTACAAGATTATGATTGATGCCTTATTGTGATACTCTACTAGCAATCCGCTTTTTATTTGAGTTTAGGCACTGAAGAAAACATTTAAGAAGTTAGACCACGATGTAAACATACAAGAATTTCTGGGTACAAGGTATTACATGCTGACACTAATTAATCGATTTAACTTTTCGGTCAAAACGTTGAGATACTGAAATACTCTTTTTGTTCATTGTCACAGTGGTCAAACTATTGAGGTACATCAGTCGAACCATGTAAAATTTTCCTCATTCCATTCATATCAGACCTTTCACTCAAGTGCTTCGTGCAGGACCTAAAAAATGATGCCACGCTATTACAAACTCGAATATCTGAAATACATACAAGATTAAGGTAGATTAATTATTTGGTTCAACTTTTAAGTTCCTTACCTATATTTTAATGTGCTTGCTTTATAGCTGCCTTTTATTCTTTCAAATTTTATATATTTTTGCATTCTGCAGCCATTGGACTGAACCTGATAAAATCAACAGCGTGGAACAATTAGAACAGATGGAAAATTCTCTCAGGGGGTCAATTAATCAACTTCGATTGCGTAAGGTATGCCTCTTTTTTATTTTGTTCCTGCTCTTCGCAAGGAATATTTTCATGATTCACTTGAGCATCAAGGTTCTGGAACTAGTTGCTAATTCATCCATAATAAGCAAGCCTACCCATTTTTTCTCCTCGTTTACAATATTCTTAACACTTGTCTAGGAAACGCGTGCCTTCTTGGGTTGCAGACAGGATTTGATATCCCAATTAGATATTTTCCTTGATAAGAAAATAAGAGAATGGATACAATGTCACACCTGGTAGTAATAATGAGAGATCATATCACTTCTAAGAGCTAGAGTAAGAAAAGGCAATAACCAAATCGAGTAGAAGCATAGAATCACATTGATACTTTGAGATCTTGATTCTATACCATTTCTCAAACGTTTCTCCAATTTCTCCAATCTAGCAGGAAAATATACAAAAGCAACAACTTGAATCATTGCAATGCAGTAACCAGGTAAAAAGTTCAACTGGTATTTAAAATGTTTTTAACGTCACATATCCTTTTTGTTTTTGATAACTTTAAATACACATTTCTATAGTGTGGAAAAGCAAGAGATGACTAAAAACGCTTTATCTTCCAGTTCAATGAGTTGCATACTCCCTTCAGGATGAGTGCTGATCAGCATCTCCAACCTCTATCATGGATTGCCAACAATGACGGCCAACATATGGTTTTACCTGATGATTCATACTTGCTTCTTCACAAGTAAGCATTTTTCCTGAAATAAACCTATTCTTCAAATTTCTTCAATAATCTTCATTGAATTGATTGGACTTAAATACATTTTTAGGTTATTTGGGAGAAGCAGCATATATTGCCAGGATAATAAGCAAGTGTTATTGTAGCATTGAAGTCTGATTGTTAACAAAATTCAGAATCATAAACAATGAATTGGTTAAATAGAATTTGTAAACATGTTCAATTAGTGTATGCATTCATATTAATTGACTCACAATAGGTAAACATGTCTCCTGATAACACTACAGTAAAAAATTAATCATTCAAATGCCATGGGACCAATAGTATTGTATTCATATGCTATATTTTTGTTTGAATTCAGTGGCATTGCTTTTGAGTTCTTATTAACGGATAAGATAATCTTGCTGAAAAAAGGATGGTTCGTGAAATATTCAATGTCTGGAGGTTGTTGTTTAACTTTATCTTCAATCTATCTGAAAGTATCTCTAGATACCCTTTTGTGAAGAGGGGGACCTCAAGAATCAAGATATTTGCCCAGATTATTTGTAGGTTGAAAACCCAGAAACTGGATAATGACCAAGGCTTTAATGCTTGGAACATTATGGGAGAAGAAGATATTAGACTTTCTATGGCTAATTATGTGGCCCTAGATATCAGTGACCTGTCATTTGGATCTTGTTCTTGGTCCCAATAACACTCCTTTATTTTATTTTATTAGTAATCTAACATGAACAAGTAAGATAATCTTATAAACCAAAAACAAAAACCAAAAAATAAGTAAAAAGAAAGAAAAAGAAACCAAACTTAGTGACATTGTCATCGAGCTCAAACAAAAGTATAGCATAGAAATGAAATAGTTTTTTTATTGTAGAATTTTATTTTTATTTGTTTTAGCCAATTACTTAATTTGTAATTATGCTTTATATGATGGAAAAATAAATGTATACTTGATTGGAGATCTATGGGTTGATATTCTGTAAGTGCTAACTCTACTTGTTAAATTGATTTGGCTGCTTCTCAGAGACACAGAGTGCTCCGCAAGCTCCTCTTTTGGGAGTTATGCAAGTTATCTTGGCTCAAGCCCAAAACCAGATCTTTCTAATTCTGGGCAAGAAAGTGGTGTCCTAAGTGACATGACAAGTACTGCTTCTCTGAGACTACAATTAGGCGGGCAGCTTCCGTACCTGCCGTACAATTTCAATCTACTGAGTGATATCAAGTTCCAGCCATCTGCAGAGATCAACCCACTTGAAAACCCCATAGATTATCATCCTAATAAAAGCTTTGAAGCTCCTAGACTTGCTTTCGAATCTAACCACCATGGATGGGATTCCACATCAGGGCCTTGTGCTGTTACCACCATGTTTGACGACTATTTGTATGCCCAGGCAAGTTTCCCTCAAGTAAACTTTGGCTTCTCCTAACAGCACCTCCTCCCCTTTTTCTTCGTTTTATTTCCTGGTATTCCTGTTGCATGACTTCATCGTGAGCTACTGGCCAACTGCAAATGAGTGAATCACCTGAGAGCGATTTCCACCTTGAACAGTGAAATTATTTATTTATTTATTTTTTTTAGCCAAAAACCTTCATTTTAAAAAATGTCAGAAACTGCTCATTGATGATACAAACTAGCTTCTATTCGCAAGTCTCAGCGTTTAAATGTTACTCTCTCTTCATATTCCTCATTAGTTTCTATACTAATGCTTGATTTATAATCGCTCTTCATATCAAAACATGGCGCAGCTGTTTTAGCTCATCTGATTGGACAAATTAGTTACCTTCTGTTAGTTAGTGCTAACTTCTCGGGTCAGCCATGAATAATGATTTTCTATAAATCATGCCATCTTTTACTACAAAATCATGTCTTACGCTTTGTTTGGCAGGGGAATGGGGAGGAAAGGAAGCGAGGGAGGGGTTTTATTTTGCTTCTATTCAGTGTGCCTGAAACTTTCTAATTCTAACTGTGTCTGTTCTACATTTAGTTTCCTTTTACCTCGCCTGATATTTAAAACTTTATAATTCTTGTAGTTTTAACTGTTATCCAGGTGCCACAACGACACTGATTCACTACTCTTTTCGCCCTCCATCTTCCAATGAGGCTGACGGAGAACTTCAGTCATGCTTGATGCTTCATCAGAACTCAACAATAAGCAATAATAGGCTATCTGGATTTTGCTTCCACCTTGTTTTCTTCAGTGAAGGTTATCATGGATGCAGAAAGCATATTTCGTTTCTTCTTGCCCACATGGATGATGAGAGCTGTTTATACCATCACATTATAGGGAAGTAACTGATTCAGAATAACGTGTATTTCATCTTTGTTCGTATCTGTATCGGCTTTTTGTAAGTAAAGAGTGTCAAAGCTTGTTCTTCCTCACATGAACCAGATCTTGTATATTGGAAAACCTGATTGCAATCTCAGACGAACAGAACTTAGGAGAAAACATGTTGCAGAAAGCCACCAAAAATTTAAAAATAAGGAGAAAACAAGATACAGGATGCCCTCTTTTGAACTTATGTATATAAGTATTGATGAAAATTATATCTGATTCCTTTATATTTCTATTTATAATCCGTTGAATTTTCTTAATTTTGGCAGACCACTTGTTCTTCTTTTGGAATAGGAATATATCGGTAGCTCTTTTTCCTGTAAACCTTACTTCCCCCAGTCATATAATATAATACAGTATCAGTCTCTCGAACTTAATTTACAGCTAAATACATGAAATGATCCAGCAATAGCATACTGTGGGATGAGCCAGCATGCCTAATCCATCGTTAACTCTGCAATTTATCTGGCTTTTTAAACAAATGTTGGACCCAGTCACTCAGAATTCAATCAGCGCTCAATATAAATGACAAGGACGGAGAAAAATGCAGCCACTAAGCAGATATTCCAGACAAAAATAGATCTTAAGAATCCGAAGTAGGTGGAAGAGGTTGAACTTTTAACTGTTATTCAAGGCTTGATCTCTAGTTAGGTAAAAGAATAAAGATAGTCCTTGAAACAGTTAAGCTCCGTGAGGATTCTGAGCAGTGTGAGAAGCGCTTTTCTGTTCTTACAATCATTTATTCCTTTCTCTTGCACTGATTTAATATTTATTTACTTTTATATAACGAGATGAGTATGGATTTCGTGAGATGTAAATGAGGAGACAACTTTAGAACTTCTATATAAGGTAAATGGAGTGAATGATAACAAGAGCTTGTACACAGAAGAGAGGACACAGGAACAAGGTAGAAAATTACTACATCTTTTCATTGCAGAAGCAGGAAAATTTACACTTAAATATCTCTAATAGAAGCGAAGACACACTCGGCCAAAGCTGACATAACAAGTAGCACCAAACAAATGCTCCTAACGCCCCCACCAACCCCCACCACCCCCCCCCCCCAAAAAAAAGTGAAAATGTAAAGTAAGAAACTATTCCAATACTCACGGCGGGTGGTATAAATATTCCACCGCTTCCACTTTACTCACTATTTTTTCACCTTTTACCGACATAATCTAAAAAATCCATTGCTTCAAAACTTCCAATAAGAAGGGTTAGAAGGCACCAAAATTTGGTACCTCCACCATGACACAATGATGATGATGATGATGATGATGAAGAGCCCTTTTAAAATAAGCCCTTCTCATAGTAGCTTACTATTTTATACCCTATTATACTACCGAGTCATAACAACACTCGAACAGGAATAAGCAACATAAATATATGTATGTATGTCTAGCGGAATTGGGCACCAGTGAAGGTTTGGCCAAAGAACCAGTTTGGTGGAGCAACATTGTTGGACACCAAAGAGCGGCCATCACTGGTTGTGACCTTGAAGGAGAGGGCTTGGCCATTGAGATAATTGTTGCTTTGCCAGTTCTGGCCCCAGTTTCTTGACATTGGCATCCACCTCGTTCTGGACCCTTTGATGGCCACACTGTGTACATCACCAGCACCACCAACGTTTGTGATGAGCACCAGGTTGAAGTAGGAGTGGCCATTGATTGTGAACCTTATGCCTCCCCTTCTCCTGCAGGGTACCCTACACAAACCAACCCATTGAAAAAGATACAATAAGCTATCAAAAGGGTCAAATTACAGTTTCCAACCACTTGGTTCAAGCAATAAATTTTCAGAGACTTTCACCGACAAAAGATGGCTAATTGTAGAGCTTTGTCTCACTAGGTAGCTGGACAAAGAAATGCAACACCCTAGTTCAACTTGACATGGGGAGTTGGGGACCAGTCCTTTTATTACAAGAGCAGGACCAGAAAGGGCAATAGAGTTTTGATGACTAGCAACTTCAATGGACCAACGTTTTACATTTGTGTTCTGGTTTAACATTCTTATCTTCCATTATTGAGTGAATTAGCAGGCGCTCAATTCTTAAAGAAACTTATTATCTTGTAAGGTAAGGGATCTAAATTGGAAGAAACAAGGCAATTTACCTTCGGTAAGACACAGGAACGATGCCAGCTCTGTATTGGGCAATGCGGAGGAAGACAGGCTGAGAGAGATCAAAATGGTGGAGAGGAGGATTACACCATCCTCCTGCATTATTGGGCAAAGCGTTGTTTGGTGGGCAGAAATTGGTAGCTGTGACCACTATGGAACCTGGAAGACACCACCTTCTGTCATTCACGCACCTGATCTCATAGCATGACCCACAGCTCAGCCCATTGTTGAACAGAGCCGTGCTCAGAGCAGCCGTGTTCGTTCCATACCCTTGGCTGTACAGATTCCCATACCCGCAAGCCCCACCTGTACCATTCATCATCATCATCAACAAGGTTAGCCAAGTGGGTTTGCTCCACAATACTTCAAACACTCACATTTTGAAAGTAAGTGTGTGCTGTTATGTAATAAATCATGCGTCTGGTACAAATGTCAAACACGTATCAGACACTAATTTTGACGCATAAATTGCATACCCATTGTGCCTGATGCGTCACCACCTCCATAGAAGGTGGCATGAGCATTAATCCACCCTCCACCATAGCCATGAGCAGAGGAGAACATGGAGAGAAAACCCATCAAGAGCAACCCAATGAGAGCCATTTTTTTTGCTCCTAAACATACACAAAGAAAGAATAATCAGTCTGAGACTTTCTTCTCAAACATTAGCGAACTCTAATCTGCTAAAAATATGACATTTGGACTTCAAACCATGATGCAGAAAGGGAATTACTTTGACGGTGAAGCGTCAGAGGAAGAAGTTGTTTCTAGAGGGAGAAAAATGAGAAGGAGAGATGAGTGTAGAAAAGTGAAGGGGCTGCGACCGAATTTATAGAGGGAAGGGATAGGTCCTTGTTACTTCAACTGTAACTAACGCATTTAATAACTGTTGGGACGAAACACACTTGTGGCTATGGGGTTATGAGGCTACAAACAGTTCATTAACCGTGAAAAATGAAAGAAGAACCCTGTCTTAAGGTTCAGAATGTGTTCTTGGGGCGAGAAAGCGCGTGGTTTTTGTAGCTTTCAGCTGGAAAATCTGCAAAATCTAAGTGGGTCATCCCTGTTTTTACTCCTGAAGATAAACATAATAACAAGCTGCCAAGTCCACATGCAAGTATGCACCATCGTCCATTTTCTTCTTCCCCCTTTCCAGATTCATTTGCTTTTTCTTTGCTTACGTCTTTTCTTTTTCCACTGGGAATTTTTGGGATCATTCGATGATGTCACTTCATTATAATATTGTTATGTTTATATTATGCAATAATATTATTGTAGTTTACTCTAGATTAATAAATTCGTGTCTTTAAACACTAACCTTTATTTTTACTTATAACCGATTTACTATCTGAGCTAGCTCCGGAGGCTTTAAACAGCTGATTTTTTCATGAAATTCTGATGATCTTCACAGCATTTCATTTAAATTTGACAGTAATATTATGAATGTTAATTATGAAATATGGTTGCAATTTTATGGGATGTCCTTGAATGAGGGACTTGATCATGAAATATGATCAGTACGTAGGTGGTGAGGTTCTAGGAGCTTTCGCTTGTTCATTTTTTGTATTTACAGCCTCCTCGTCAATATGTATATAACTCATTTACACAAAAATGTCTTTTCTTCATCACTCTAATCATGCATCTACTTCATCATTGAGGATTCAATATTAATCTTAGAAAGGGCAAATTCTAATATGCAAGTTAATTATTCAATATTAATAATTCTTTTCGGGTGGTTTTTCTCAACTTTAAATTAAGTTTCTGTTATTTTTTTATGACAGAAAATTTAGGTGAGTTGAAAATTTCTGTTATTTATTTTGTTTTAATCAAGTCTTTATAATCTGATCGACTAAATATGTTCATCCTTGAAGATTAAAATTACTAATGAATTATTAAATTTGTCAAAACAAAAATACTTTTAAAATTTGTGGAAATTATGATTTGATACTTTTGGACAAGAAGAAAAGAGAAAAATTGATTTAATACATTGTTTAAATTTTTATTTAATTTTTTATAAAAATTATTTATAATAAATAATATAATTATATAAATTTTAATTCATAAAAAATCATGTAATTATAAAGTTACATGATCTTTAAATAAAAATATTAAATTTATTAATTTAATTTAAAAAATTCAAGGATTTTAATTTTCAGATATTAACATATTTAATCAAACAAACTATAAAAATTTGATTAAAGTAAAACAAATTTCAAAGACTTCATTCAAAATTAAAGCAAGCTATATGAAGACTTACAAATTAATTTTTTTTCATTTTACAAAATTGTAAAAACATATTAACTACTTTTAACTAATTTTCTTAGTGCAGGTGAAGTAGCTAGTTAATAAGTCCTTATAATAAAAACCAGAGAGTGTTGTGTAAACTCCATGAATTTGCATGCATGGATTGAAATATCTTTGGGTGAGGGAGATGAGAGAAAATAAAGGAGATAAGGTTGAAAGTGGTGGGACAAGCGAAGGACTGTGAAACATGTACAACTCTGTGTTACTGTGGATGATACTTATTACCAAAAGTACAATGAAAAGGGACCTTCAGGCTTCAGCCCCAGTTTCACATGGCTCATCCTTCCTTCCCATGTTACTAGCTTCCTTCCTTGAAGCTTCCTATGCTTATCAGTTAACCTCATTCATTCCCTTCTCAAACTTCTTACATCTTTCAAATGTCATTTTTTAAGGGGTTCTTGATATATACATTGTACAATAATATTTTTAAATAATTTATTTTGTGGACAAAGATTATTTGCATACATACACTTTTTAAAAATCATCAAACTCTCAACCGCTTGTTTAATCAACAAGATTTCTAATCATTTGTGTTATTATAATTAGCAACCTTGTATATTTAACCTTGTATCTTCACGCTATACAACTTAATAAATATTCCTTCCATCTCTTATTATAAGTCATAGTTTTCATTAGTTTTATATATCCCTAAATTTAAGTCTCAACAGAGATTTATAGGTGAAATTAAAGCATATTTTCAAGAATACCCTTTACAGAAGTTCAAAATTATTATTGAAAATGGTTGGAGTTTATAATTGATGGTGGGAATGGAAAGAGGAAAGAAACATCTCCCAGATCTAAGTATTTCCTTGATATGTGTGTTTTGAAAAATTAGAACCTGAAGGCCCTTTAGTAATTTTTAACTATTACTTCTCATTCTAAAAGCCTCCTCTATCCCAAACTAGGACTTATAAAGTCCTATTTTTCATGTGATTCTCCTCAATGGCTTTTGTTGATAGCCATTTTTATAACAGTGACCTTTCAATAAAAATAAGAATATTACAGACACGAGTCTATAAAAAGAGAATTCCATTTTAAAATACTAATATATTAAGATGAAAAGTTTTTAAAACTTATAAACCTCATTCTTTTTTTATGACTCATATGATCATATCTAAAAGTTACTTTTAATATATTTTACCAAACCAAAAAGAGAGGACTTTAAAATTTATTAATTCTATTTAAAAATTTAATAAATTTTTAAATTTATCTTTATTAAATATACAAAATAAAATAATATACTTTATCTTACTCATATTTATAGAGGATAAAAGAAAAAAATATAATAAAAAATTAATAACATAATTGACAAATAGGATGGAAAGAACAGTATACTGTTGCTACAGTGATCGTAAGTTCGGGTATAGCTAGATCAATGGTGAGGACAAATAAGGACACGGGATGAGGGAAACGGTACGGACATTAATAAAGGCCACCAATAGCAAGAGGCCATGTGTGAGTGCATTATTTGAGTAATGGGTTTGTGTCTGGCGAGCGCTATGCCACCTTTCACCCCAGCTGGAACAACTTCATTAACTGGCTACCATATCTTCTTAATTAATACATTAACTTAAAAATTATATAAATAAATAAAATCATCAACTCCCTCTAATTCTATTTATAAAATAAAGAGATAAAAAAATTTTTAATTTTATTTATAAATTAAGTTATTAAATTTTTATTATAAATTTTTTCTTTTTACCACTCTCCATTGAATGTTTAAGAGAGAAAATATGTTATTAAAATATATATATTTAATAAAAATAAAGTTAAAATTTTTTAAATTTTAAGACAGAATTAATAAATTTTTAAATTTTTTTTATATTAATAAAATATATTAAAAATAATTTATAAATAAAATCAGAATAGCATCTGTTTTTTTTTTTTTTTTGGAATACTATCTTCATGCAAAACGATAAAAGCTTTTTTATAAACCGCGATTCTCGCCATTAGTGTTTTTCAATCATTTTAATTATACATGACTCGTGAACCACTACTTTTCTCAGCAGACCACGCTTTTGCACTTGGATCGAATTTACTTCTGTTTTTCTATCTCTTGTTTTATACACACCCCTTTAATTCAAATTGAACATAAATGACTTAAATCATGTTTTTTGAATTTTTATTTTTATTTTATGTTATTAATATTTTTAATTAAAACATTGGAGGTAGAAAAATCAAGTAATTTAATTTTCGATCTAAAAATTAAGAAATAAATAAGCAATTAATTTAATTAACACGCGATGCTTTTTGTCCGAATAAAATATGGCAGGCACATTCATTGTAATTTGTAAGTGTCTCGCAAATGATATCAGGATGGGGCACTAAATAAGGAAGAATAATCCGAGAGATCTCTTATTTCTCTTTTCAAACAATATTAAAAATATATGATATGCATTTAAAAATTAATAAATTCATTTTACAAACTTTATTTACTGGAAAAATAATAAGAGATTGAGTACTCCCTCCCATCCTTTTTATAAGATGGAGGGAAAAGAATTTTTTCATCCTATTTTTACATTATTCATTTTTCATAAAAAATTTCTTTTATTTTTTATTAAATGTTGGTAAAAAATTATATTATTAAAGTATGTATATTTTTTAGCATAAAAATTATATATATTTAGTATAAATAAATTTAAATTTTTAGAAAAAATTAGCAAGCTTTTTAATTTTATATGATTTTAATAAAATATAATAAAAGTGACTTAAAAGTTAAAAATAATAAATAGAATTAAATTTTTAATAGAATCCCATTTAAAGATTTTTTAAAATAATTATTTATAAATAAAGACTAACAATAAGTTATTATCTGATAAAAATAAATTGCTATTATTATTTTAATGATATATAATCTTATATTAATTTTTATCAATAAATAATCCTCCAGAAAAATTTCTGTTATATTTTTCTTGGTCGAGGAATTTTGTCATTATTTATTTATTTTTTATTCGGAGGTTTTGAAAGCGATGTGAGAGGGTCCTTTAACGGCGCCAAAGGAGCAATAGCACATGGGGCAAGTTCGTCTGTTTGTTGGAGTTGATGCTGCAAATCAATTTCGATTCCGAAACTGTAATAATTGTGCTTTTGAATTTTTCTCACGCAGACAGGTTTTCTCAAGTGAGCCACAGGTAATAACTGTCCAACAATACCTACAGCTTAAAATCCCCAGAATTGTGTTGATTCTCCTACATGCAAAGTCTTGGATTTGAATCCTATTAGGGGGAAAAAAAATCTCAGAATCAAATAATGTAATAGGTCTTGTTTCTAATAATTTACTTTTAAAAAAATAAAATTTTCCATCCCACCTTTCAATTGCCTCTTGGTATTAAATGTTGTGATATTAAATGGAGGACAAAGCTGAAAAACAAAAAATAACTCTTACATTCTCATAATTTTCTACTCTTTTTATCTTTATATATAAAATATTTTTTAATTGAATCATATAAACTAATAAAGGTTAGTTATTTAATTAAAAGTATAGTAATATTTTAATTTTGTTCCTAATTATTATAAATAAAAAATAAATATTTTTTAAAGTAAATTAATGAGAGTATTTATCCTTTTCTCTTTTTAATTTAATAAGGATATAATAATCCATTCATTAAAAAATATGCTAACAACGTTTTATAT